CTAGGTGTGAGCTACAGGACCCTGGGGCCTGCTATTTCACAGCTACACAGTGGTGGTTATGAACATTAGGTGGATTTATGAAGAGCACAGTGATCCAGTAAGTGGAAAAAAATGCTTGCTCGTATATTAAAAAGAGGCCACGGTTATAATCGTTCTCTCTGAAATGAGACCTTTAATTTTCTGCTGGCCCGCACAGCAAGCTTTATCATGCCTGAAAACACCTGGCTCCAACCATCCCACAGCCATCTTGTCTCCTCGCTACAACTGCCTCACCCTCTGCCTCTGTGTTATCCGCTCGGGCCGATGACAGCACCAAATCAGAGAGCATTTATCTGGCTGGCACCATGAAAAATATAGAGGCGAGGATTACAGTTTAATAACATTTGATACTCGGGACTGCGTCAGAGGTGTAATTGTCAGGTAAAATCGCAGAACAATTAATCGAACTAAGTGTTGCTAAGGCGTACGTTTTGTCGCCTCAGGCTTCAAGGAGTGCGCTGTTTTGCTGCAGAATAATTGATGTAATATTTCTACACTCACCCGAATTCCAACGTTGATGTTGTGGGCATCCACCAGAGCCCTCAGGTCCTTGCTGACCCTCTTTTGGCCGAGGAACTTTTTGAGAAACTTGGTGCTGTATTTCAGGTTGTCACCACAGACCCCCCACTGCCACGCTTCCCGATGCTGGATCCCGGGGGAGTCGTCACAAGTGCACCTCTCCATTCGACCTGAGCTGCACGCTTTGGCAAGTGCATGGGTCAGTGCTGCAGAGGACACAGCCAGCAGGAATGCGGTCTCCTTGAAAGCTGTGGCAGAGGGATCAGGGGAGGTGGAAGAAAAGAAAAAATATTTAAAGCTACATTTTTTCAAGGCTTTGGATGCAAAAGCTATTGGTGTTATTGCTCTGAAAGAACAAATTTACAACAAAATGCTTTTTGCGTCACCGATTAACCTTTTAAGCCAGAATGTTTACAGAGGACTCGATGCGTTGTCAGGGTTTACAACAACATCAGCAATTCTGCAAGTTTTCTTACGTCGCAATTCCTCTCCTGACATTTCCTTTTGGTTTTGCACTGTTATTTGCTTCACCCAGAGCCATCACCATGGTATATTTTGATCCAATTAATTATTATTTTGACTAGGAAGGATTTTCCCAGATGAAAGTGGGTAATCACGCCACCCTTTTCCTCTGGGAATGGCCACTTTCCCGAGATAAAAATAACCACAGGGCTTGAGCACTCTGCACCGCACCACATTTCTTGGCTTTCTACTCCCTCATTACCTCTGTGCTGACCTGTTCATGTTCTCCCACACGCTGATATCCATATGCATAAAGCTTAGAAGATCCTAAAGGAGTTTATGTGCACAGGAGGGATTTTTGAGCTATGTGCAATATGGTGATCCAACAGTAGCTAATCAATAGGTGTATCAAGCCATGTAAATTATAAAGTATTCAAGTAAGCAGCTTCTCAAAAACTTTAAAAGGTTGTATCAAGTCAAGGGGTTCAGAGGAGTTACCGAGTGTTATCTTGATACATTCTTTGGTACTGCAGAATGACTTAGGAACATTTTTAACTTTAAATGAGATGAAGAAAATTAATTTTGTCACTGGTTTTCTCAAACAAAATAACTTACCAAACTTTTTTTTTTACACAGTAATCATTTTCAGCACTTTGCTGCAAATAGTTGAAGCTCATGTCTCAATTGTTTATTTAGAAATGCAACAAACGACCATTAGGAACAAAACAAAGAACCTGTAAGACCTTATAAACGGGTGTATATTCAGTTTCTATCTTGTACAGCATGTAATACATCTTATTGAAAAAGTTGCTTCCCTGTGTGAGAAAAGGGCTTGTAAAAATGTTGTATTGTTTGAAATAAAATATAAACTATCAGTTAAACTATTTCGTTAAATTTGAACAAGAAACCTTATTGTTTACAAACTTTTACAGCTGTTAAACTGGTGGTAAAAAGTTTACGCATAAATTTATTTACTGGTTCGTTTTTCTCATTTTCACTTTTTGATTGATGAGCTTATGTCGACAAAAACATGCCTGCAGCACTACAGGTGTGCTTATCTATAAAACATCCTGTACTTACTGCTCAGCCATGCACTTCAGGTAAATAAAGACGAAGACATAATTTGTAGTTAGATAAAAGAGAATTTCCGACTTTCTCAATGACCTTGAGCAAGAACCCAAAATTAAGGAAAGTGTTAAAGTGGCTCACCTCTTTTCAGAAGACTTCCCCGACCATCCAGGCTGCAGTTCCAGCGTTCGTTTCTGAACTGATACCGACACTCAAGGAGGCTGAGGCGCACAGACTCCCGAAGCGTCTCGGCCAAGCCCGGCTCCCTGCGACAGAGTCTCTTCTGTCTCCTCGTCAGAGTCATTTGTTCGCACTGCTTCAGGTGGGCCTTTCCTGATGGAGCTTCATTGGAAAACGGAGCTGGTAAAAACACCAGAGGTTCCCGACCTGTCAGTCTAGGATTATAGAAGAGGGGGGAAAATCACATTAGATATTGTATGTGTGTGACAAAATACACAAACACTGCGTCCTGTACCACAGTAATGAAACTATTCTGTCACCACTCCAGCATATGTTGTTATTACAAATGTGTTCCCACAACGGTATTTTCTCTCTCGAAGAAAATCCAGGAATAAAACTTTTATGTTCATTTACCTTAAAATACATTTAAAATTGCGAATATGGATTTTTTTTTGTTTCAGTGGAACATATTAGCGTGTACATGGACTTTGAACAGCCCTATAAAAATATAATTACGCGTGCGTAATTCAGCTAAAGCTTGTAAAGGTTGTGGCTGTGGTCACTTCTAATGATTTAAACAGAAAAGCCAAACAACCGAGATAAAATGTACAAGTAAAAGTTCATCGTCTGACCCAAAATAAGCTGCAGTGTGCGACAGAAGGATGCAGAGTGCAATGATTCGCAATAGGCAGGCGGTCCTCGGGAGCCTGGAGCGCATGATGCCGGGTTGGCGCTGTTCCTCATCTCGCTGATTCTTCAATAGAGAAAGTCCGTGCCGTTCGCTCGGCGCTTCTCTTTAAG